GGGATCCCCCTCCCCAAAACCAGCTGCTTTAAAAAACACCCACTTTATTCTATAAAGTATTTTTTTTCTTTTTCTTTCTTTCTTTCTTTCTTTTTTTATTTAAAACCAACCAAAACAACTAATTTATCTCCAAGCCGCGGGTTGGACCAGGGGCTCCGTTAGATGGTGCTGGGGGCGGGGGGCTGCCCTCTCCTGCAGCCCCCCATGCTCCCAAAGCAGCCCCCACTCAGGGTTGCTAGGGGCTGTTTTTTTTTTTTTTTTTTTTTTTTTTGCTCTTTATTTTTCCTTTTTCCACTCCCCGCGCACATCAGGGAGAGGGCGCTGGCCGCAGCGCTCGGCCCTGCTCCCGCAGTAACACTCTATACCATAACTAGGATATAGCTCTGGCACGTATTGATTTAGCATATACACCGTGGACGTTAATACACACACACACACACACACAACTAGGGCTTAACTAGTGCCGCTGTACAAACTTGCAAAAAACTAGGTATGGTTCTAAGCTAAATGCTTTTTTTTTTTTTTTTTTTTTTTTTTTTTTTACTTTTTAAAAACTTTTTCTAATCTTTTGTTTTTCCTCCTCGCCTGCTCTGCTGGCGCTGGGAGGGGGGACACACAAAGGGCTGCCGGGGTGTCCCTTCTGCTGCCAGCGGAGCAGTGACTTTGCAGGGGCAGCGCTTGGGGACACGGGGAAGGCAAAGGCTGGGGGTAGCGTTTTGGGGAGGGCAGAGGGGATCACTACAGGCCAAGGTTGCGGCTTAAAGCTTTTTGGTCCCCATTATCTGGGGGGAGCAGAGGTAACTTAAAACCAGGGGTTGGTGGCAGGGAGATGGGGCCGGTGCGAAGCTGGGCCACACTGGGGTGGCCCCGGGGGGGACAGAGGTGGCAGGACGAGGCAGCAGTGATGGAGCGGAGGCAGTGGCTGCTCAGCCCCAAGCAGGGGAGGAGCGAGAAGGAGGGCATCCCCGCCACCATGGCTGCCTTGGGCAGCAGAGCTCATCTTCCTGGGGGTCTCAGAAGCCTTCAGAGAGGGAAGGACGAAGCTCCTGCTGCTCCAAGCCCTGGGGAGGAACAGGAGAAGATGCTGGCGGCAGCCTGGGTGGCTGCAGTTCCTCCCTCCCCACAGACCCATCCCAGGCTGTGACCAGGAGCCCCGCTGACCCCGGGAACAGCAGCCACAGGGCTGCGACTCCCTCCACGGTGGCGGGTGGGTCACCCCGTCCCTCCCCAGGGCCGCGGGGGGCCTGCAGTGGGTACTCACTCTAGGGCTTCTTCAGTGTGTGACTGGTGCTTTGCTTTCTGCAAGAGGAGGAGGGAGAGACGTGTGAGCGCCGCGGCCTCAGGGAGCGCCGAGCGCCCCCGAGTGCGACGTGTTTGTGGCCCTGGCCGTACCTGCCCACGGCGCGCGTGGCAGCGCCGCCCTCGCAGCTCTCCCGGTAGCAGAGGTCCTGCTGTACCCTGTAGACGCGCCTGTACCTGCGCACGCAGAGCAGAGGGGCGCGGTGTAGGCGGCAGCAGCGGGAGCGCTGCCTGCCTCCTTCCGAGCGGAGCCGAGTGCCACCGCCTCCCTCCTCGCTGCTGGGGTGGCCTCGGGGGCGGCGTGTGCTCGCCCGGCCTGGGGCCTGGGGCTGCACGGGGCTGCAGGGAGTACCTGGCGCCGGTACTCACAGGTAGCGGCAGATGCCTCCTTCCCACACGGGGAATGACTTGGTTTCCGAGTACAGCCGCGTGCACGAGAGGGGCACCTTCTTGCAGGCTGCTTGGGGAACAGGAGAGGGCAGCTAGCAGCGAGCCCGCCCCGCGCCTGGCCTGCCGGGGCCCCCGGGGGCTCCCCCACCGGAGGAGGCCACCGCTGGGGACGCTGCTGCCGGGAGAGCCGCGGGCTCTGCACTCACCCAGCTCGCAGTGGCGGCCCTTGAAGCCCGGCGTGCAGTGGCAGCGGTAGGAGCGGGCGCCCCACACACAGACGCCGCCGTTCCTGCAGGGCTTGGCGGAGCACTCGCGCCTGGCGCCTGCAAAGAGCCGCGCGTCGCCGTGAGCCCCCTGGGGCAGGTGGCAGCCACCTCCCCACTGCCCGCCCACACTTACTGCTGCTCCGCGCCTCGGGCAGCTGCAGGGCTTGGCTGCCCGGCGGCGGCTCCTCCGCCTTCTCCAGCTTCACCGGCGTGTCGGGCTCTGGGCAGGCAGAGGGCAAAACGTTACTGCTTCAGAACTAGAACATGCCGGCCCAACGGGCCGGCCCTCACGGCAGGAGCTCCTCAGGCCTGAGGAAGGCGTTTTGGCCTTCCCAAGCCTTCCCGTGAGCTCAGCTGACCGGTGGGGCCGCCTCGAGAGCACTGGGCTCCTCGGCCACTGCAGGCACGGGGCTGGTGCCCATAGCCCCATGGTTGCTGCCACAGTGAACTTTCCTGCCACGTCCCCTCCTCCCTGGCTTCCCACGTGTGTCTCCTCCCGTCACCAATGCCCTAACGGTGGCCATGGGCTGCCTAGCCTGCCTGGGTCACCCTGCTCACCAGGGAGCAGGGCAGATGCCAGGTCTGACCGGGGAGGGCTCCAGCCCCGCAGCCCCCAGCCCTGTCCCCGAGGGAGGAAGGAGCCAGTGACACTCACGTGTCTTCACTGTGATGGGTTTATCCGGTGAAGGGCCGAACCTGGCACTGATCCTCCCTCTGCCGTCCACCAGCTCTGTGAACCTGGGAAGGGGCAGCGGCAACGACGTGAGCTCCACTTGCTCTGCGTGCTCATGCGAGCCCTGGGGGC